TCGTGCCTTGGTGACGATGAAGTCATAGAAACTGTGGTGCTACGAGCAGAGGGCAGGAAGGCAACGGCAGGTGAGCCACCTCGGCCGCCTGCAAGCCGGGCTCCAGCCCTGCCCACCCAAGCCGAAGACCCAGGGCCAGCGGGGCCCCCCCTCGAAGCCCCCGGGTGTGCCACGGCCCGAGACCCTCCCCGCAGCCCCCAGAGAAGGGACTCACGTGGGGTATGATTAGGTCCTCCTTGATGTACATGAGCTGCTCTACCCCTGCCGACCTGAGGGAGAAAGGACCAGATAGCAGGTGGCCAAGGACACCGGGGCACCAGAGCCAGGAGGCGGAGGACCGTGATGCTGGAAGGGGGATGGGAAAGGGGACACGGCCCCCTTCTCAGGAGCACGGCGCCCCGCATGCCGCGAGCAACAGCTGCCACCTGGGGTCCCGAGTGCCAGGGCTGAGGCTGCAGACTCCGGTGCACCCTGTCGCACGCCCGCGCAGCCCCACCTGAGCTCGCTGAAGTCTTTGCGCAGGATCTCGAGGGCCTTCTGCAGGAACTGCTGCATCGTGTTGCCCTTTTTCATCTGTGTGAGTGACCCGAGAAGAGGCAAGAGGGAAACCGTGTGGGGAAACCAATCGAGGAGTTGGGAAGGGAGGACGGAAGCCCGGAACCCTCCTCCCTGCTCCCCCCGAACCCCCAGGGGCCACCCATACCAAGGGATTGACAGCTCCTTCCCACCGAGGCCAAAGGAGGCTGGGCCCAAGGGGCGAGGGGCATGGGGCATGGGGCGCAGGCCCCGCAGCGTCACCTTGACTGTACGCCGGTGCCCAGAGCCATCCCAGTAACTGAAGGTGATTTCGATCTCCTCGCCTACAAAACAGAATTGCTGCTTGGCCTCCAGACCCCGGTGTCCCCACTCCCTGCCAGCTCCCTGGGGCTCGGGGCGCTGCCCAGAGCAGCGCTGGCAGGAGCGCGGGTGCGGCTCCCAGCCCTGGGCCACGCGCATCCCGCTCCAGGAGCCTCACTCTTGATCTTCTCCTGCTTGGCTTCCCACTCCTGCCGCAGCTCCTCCCGGAGCCGATTCTCCTCCTCCTGGAAGAGAAGGAGGCAAACGAGGGGGGCCCAGGGCTGCCCGGGGGGCACGCAGGGCCCCACTTCCTGAGCAAAAGCCTCTGCCAGGGTCGGGGTCACGCCGCCTTTACCTCCCGGTCTCGGTCAGGCAAGAAGCTCGTGTCCACGTCTGGGTTCTTCCCCAGTTTCCTCTTCTTTGTGGTGAGCTCTGGAGCAAAAGGAAACACAAGGGTCAGCGGCACGACAGCCCTCGCCTCCAGGGCGCCCCAGACCTTTGTCACCCAGGCCTCAGCTCAAATGCAACCTCCTTGGAGGCTTCTTGGACTGTACTGGCCGGGACGCACGGCCCTCTTCACAGCACCTATGGAAACCTTTATGAAAGGCGCCCTTGCCAAGGGGCCTTCACCTTGGTCTCTGCTGCCAGCAGCTGAACAGGAGGCTGGTACCAAATTGTTGCCCCATCAGCTGTGACCTGGAGCGCCTCAGGGGACTTAAGGCCTCAGTGCCGGTGCCAGAGGGAGAGAAGGTCCTTTGCACCAGAGGGGCAGGACATCCACATCTGACGTCTCATCCGCTCTTCACGACAGCCTCAAAAGCTTACGACATTCCTTTTTACCAGGAGACGAAGCTGAAGCCCAAAGTCCCATGGTTGCTACTATCAGAACCCGTGGGGAGGAGGGAAGGAGAGGCCCCAGCTGGGCTCAGGCCGGGCTTGCCATCTTGGACTCTGCGACTCGCCTTCCCCAATTAGGGCACAAACAAACGAGGACAGTGATTCTTAAACTTGCTGGTCTCGGCACCCTGGACAGTCCTACAAGTCACCAAGGACCCCGGAGAGCTTTTGTCCCCGGGGGCTGGAACCATCGACAGTCACCAAACTGGAAATTAAGTCTGGGAAGTGCCGAAGACTCGAGAACGTGAAAGCATGCATTCTATCAGCTGTTGAAGGGAGCACGTCATAGCATGTCACATGACCTCTGGAAAAATCCACTGCACGCTCATGAAAGAACGAGAGCGCAAAAGGCCAAGGACGTCTCAGCACAATTATGAAAACGGTTTTGACCTCGCAGACCTCTCGAAAGGGTCTCGGAGACCCCCAGGGGTCCCTGGAGCACTCTTTGAGAACCGCCGACCTAGAAGACAAGCCCATGCTCCAGGGCAGGGGTTCCAGCGCCTGGACAAGTTACAAAAATTCCACGCCAGCTACCCATGGCCGGGCCCCGGAAACCAAACCTCCAGGGGGAGGGAAGCACCCACAAGGCCCCAGTGACACACAGAGAGGTTGAAAGCCTCCCCCCAGGCCCGTGCTGTCCCAAAGGTGGCCTCTGCCATACAGATCGGCAGCTCACACCAAACGCAACTGACCTGCCCGTGGGAATATTTTAGATACCAAATATTACTAGATAGTTACTGTTACTAAATAGTAGTGAGACTACCCCAGGGGGTTCCCCCCGGAGGGCCGGCAGGCTCTTCCTCCTGACAGCACTGGCCACTCCCCTCAAAGCTGTCCCAGTGCCATCCCCTGCCTTGGTTCCCCAACACTGATCCCAGGCCACCACATCCTGGCCACCGCGCTTTCTAACCCAGCCCAGGCCTGCCTGTGCTGCATCCTCCCCGGTCCTCAAATGTGTCCACTTCTGCCCGCTCTGCTTCTGGGCACACTCATCTCTTGACTCTACATGCTTCCCTACCCGCCTCTCTCTGGGTGCTAATGAGATTCCCCTCACCCTGAAGGCCCAACTCAATTTTCCCCCCCTCCCTTGGCCCCAGCGAGACACACGCTTCCCTGTGTGTCTCCCACCAGGACAGGGACGGTGCCCAGCTTCTGTCCGTGTGCCTCGGCCCTGGCCCAGCCATGAGCGGACGCCCAGCACACAGGGGCCCCACGGTGGCCTCAGCCTTCCCGAGTCGTTCCTGTGGCCCTTGTTCCCTTGGGCAAGGCCTGCACTGTCCAGTGAGCAGCCGCTTAGTTTCTGCGGTTGGGTCAATTTACACTGAAATTATTCAAACAGAATTAAGTTTGGTACCCAGCCACACGAGCCCCACACAGCTGCCCAGGGACCGCACAGCTGGTTCCCACTCAGTCGGCCACCGAAAGTGAGCCTCCCACTCAACTTTGCCTCGGTGAAGACTCGGCCCTTTCCCTCCTGCCCCAACTTGTGAGGTCCGGGACCCCGAAGGCTGTTGGCAGAGGTGCTTCTCCACTTGCGAGCCGGAAGCCAGGACAGAGCTCTGCCAGCGGGACCTGCCCCCACCTTCCCTCTCCAGCTCGTCGTCGTCCACGGTCGCCTCCTCCTCCTCGTCACCTGCCTCGTCCTCTTCCTCCAGGGTGAAGGACAGGCTGGAGATCTTCCGCTTGGCCTCCTTCTTGCGCTCCTTCTCTCGCAGCTTCTCCAGCTTCCTGCTGAGGCAT